GATTTTTTTCCAACCATCATGCAAAACTTCTTATAAAAATACTAAGAATTATTATATATATATAAGAAGAGGTGATACCTAAAAATTATAAAATGAATTATATCTAAATAAAAAAAGTTAAAGGAGATCAAAATACAAATATTGAAAATTTAAATATTGATTTTGAAACGAATTAAAATTTAGAGGAAGTTTTGCCTTTTCAGCCTTAAATTATTTTGAGAAGCATTTTTTTAGGTCCTGATTGTACAACTCGAACCTTAACCAGATCCCACTGTCCCAGATTCCATGCCAACTAAAAATTGCTAGTTTTGTGCTAATATTCTAGCAGTGCTAGGTGCTTTCCACAGTTGTGGTTTGTGCCACCAATGGTAGGGGATGAATAAAGTTCCCTTTGAAAGGAACTTTTTGACAGATATTTCAGGATTAGAGAACAGAATACAGAGGCCCAAATAAACAAACACGAAAGGTTCCCTGAAGGGAAAAAGTTACGAAGTTTGTAGGAAACAGTAAGAGAAAAATAAGAAAAAAAAATAGAAGTTGGAAAGGCTCTAAAAATACTCTTAAAAAAAAAAAAAAAATTTAAAGTCGTATCACCAGTAGTTGTCATTAGCTGTTTAATGACAAAACATCACTTTAAAATTTTTGAAAGCTTTTTACAAGCATAAGAGGTAAAAGAATTCAAATAGACGGCCACTTCGACATTTTTCTTCCAAAGTAAAGTCAATAACATCATTGACTAGCCCGTACATCAACATGACCAAAAGCTCATTAAAAAATCCTTTACTTTCTTTTTTTACTTTTTCTGTTTATATAACATTAAAATATTTTAATCGTGACACGTTACGAAATATAAAAATTTAAAAATTACAGCTATAGTTAACGATTCAGATTTAAAAATTTTGACTAATCATTTGTTATTTTCTTAGGTGCATAAGATAAGAATAATTATCCAGTAAAGATTTTTTGATATATAAAAATTCGAATTTGAGATCATTCATTTAAACGATTAAAACTCTTTATACTTAAACCAACTCTCTTGGGTTATACCAAGCATACATATCAATGGATTGTTATAATGATTTCAAGTAATAATTTCCTTTTCTTCTTATTATGTAAAAAAAAAGTGTTTTTATTTACGTAACATGTGTAAAAAATAAAGTGTTTTATCTATAGCCAAAAGTCATGGAAGGAAAAACCATATAATGGAGCCCTAGACTCCGTTTGTTTGGCGGAAAACAACTTTTATAGGAAAATTAATTTATAAAGAACCTATTTTAAAAAAATATATTTTTCAAAAAAATATTTTTTATCGTTTGGCAATTATATGAAAAAAATGGTGAAAAATATATTCCAAGCAATTGTTTGATACGGAAAATTAAAATACAAAAATAGTATGTGATTGTTACATCAACGAGTTTTGAGAAAACTTCAAAAAAACATATTCACAATTTCACAATATAAGATGCATTTAGAAAACTTTAATAAATTTTCATAAATACCGACTCTAAATTTTAAATTCAAAAAATAAAATGTATTTTTTTAACCATCAAACCAATTCATCAAAATTATTTGAGATAAATTCAAGTCAATATTCATATTTAGTAAAAAAATAAAATTTCTAAGTAATCCTAGCATTGTTATTTTGGTAACTCAATTAAGAATTCTTTTTCTTTTTTTTGAAAACTAAACTAATAATTTAGTCTAAAAAAATAGTTTTACAAATTATTAGTTATCATTTGTAGATAATTATTTATTTGGTTTCAAAAGATTAATGTTGAAATAATTTGTAACTAATTCTTCACTACAATTACCAACAAAATTTTACAATCGATTACAATTACAAATTATTGATTTAGTTGTAAATGAATAATATTGAGAAAATAATATATTTATTAATGAATTAATTAATTTCAAATTTTTTTACAAATGATTGCAGTATTGTAATAATCATTTCCAATCATTTAAGTATAGTTTAGGTGATTTTTGAGATAATAGTAAAAAAATAGAGATAAATTATTGAAATATTTATTATAAAAATAATTTTAAGGTGTAAAAATGATTTTTAAGAATATTTAATGTATTTATAAATCAAAAAAATCAAATGTTAGCGAGAAATAGGAAAAAATAATTAAATAATTAATAATATTTGATAAGAAATAATTAAAAATTAATTTGATATATTTTAAATAAAAAGAAAATAGAGAAAAATGTTAAAATATATTAAGAGAGAGATAAATAATGCGAGAACGAGATAGCTCGTGAGAGAAAAAGAAAATATTAATATTTTTTTTTTAACTCGAAAAATATTTTTTTCAAAAATACTATATCATTTTTTATTGACGAGAAAATCATTTTTCGTTTATTTTTTTTCTAAACGCAAAATAAATACTAGCAAATGGGGAAAACAAACTTGTTTTTCCCCAAACAAACACACCCCTAATCATTGTGATAAAAAAGGATATATTCAATGGCACTGTCCATTTTATTCTATTTATATAGGAGAATAAAAAAGGTTGTGCATGAAATTAACATGTCTGCTGGGGACATCACTTTTTAACCGAAGAAGCTTGGAATAATGCATAAATTTGCAATTCTAAAGTGTTTGAAAATCCTTCAATCGAAGGAAAAAAAACCTAGAAAAAAAATGACAGGTAATAGAAGGCGTTGACATTTTTTTCTCTTTCTTGGTGGGCTTAGAATATTGGTTGATGTTTAAGTTACTAGAAAAGAAGTGAAGAACAACGACTCATGACTCAATCCATCTCATAAAAATTTCACAGACGAACCTTAATGAAAGTCAAAATCTCAATATACCATTCAGTTGTCTAATGAATCCATGATCAGGCTTTTTTTTTTTTCACCAATTGGTTCTTCTGATCTGCTGATTCATGAGGTCAAAGTTTTTTTTGTCTTTTCTACTGGCTAGTGAGAATACTAGTGCGGCAACTGGAAAGTGTTTCAGGGTTTTCTACATGATTAAATTAATTTTCCTTCACCAAGACTTCAATAGTTTCTACGAATTGAACAGGATAGCTAGCTTGCAATTTGTACAAGAAATTTATGCATTTACACGTCCTATATGCATGGGATTCTTGTAGAAAGAAGGTTTATAAAGAGAATCGTATTGTCGCAGTACCCTTAGAAAAAAATTAAGGGTCAATGAAATGATTCAATGCAAGTTGGACACAAGGCAAAGCCAACTATCGTACTTTTGCACCTCGAAAGTCAATTTTCTTCCCATATGCAGATAGCTACGAAAGCAACACGTAGGTAGCATAATGAGCATTAATGGATAATCGTTTGGTCCCTTCTCATAGCTAGAATATATTCTATCTCCTTTCTTTGGTAAAATTTGATATAAGTGTTGTGTTCAATGATGCAAAAAAAATGGCAAAAAGGCTATATTTTTAGGGAAAAGTAGTGCCCATGAAGCTAAATGTTTGCTTGGGGATTCGAATATGGTCTTCTCACTCCTCATTAGCTATAAATAAGACTTTCTGGTGGAGCAGTATGTCATCCCATCTTCTTGATTAGTATCCATGAGAAGGAAGAGAGGTCTTGTATGAAGATGAAGAGTTAGAGAGTTTGGTAGCCAAGGATGACTTGCCTATTTCTTCCATAGGGTTTTAAAAAGGAACGAAATGTGGTTCAGAGCTCATTGGTGTGTTTCATAGGCAGTCTCCTTTGGCTATCCTAACTGGCTCTTATCTTTCATGCTAGACCTGCATCTCTTCCACATATAAGTTCAAAAGCTAGCTCACTTTCATTTAGTCTGGAATGGGAAGAATGACAAGAGATTGCCCATTGTTTCAAACCAGAAGGTACGTAAGTAAATGCCTAGAAATGATTCTAGCTAGTTGGACCCAACTTGTGCCGTTTGATTCAAACTCAATTATTAGGTCAATTTCAGTCAATGTTGGCATTGCATTGTAAGTTGTGTTTTTGTTCAATATAGAATAAGTTTTCTACTAATATGATGTTTATTTATAAAACACGCGATATTTTTTCTAACGCTTCTATTCATTTGTAGTTTATGTTTTGAGAATTTCAAATGATTTATTAGATTTTTTTTTATAATTCTAAGACTATATAAAATTAGATAACCAAATGAATTTTATTTAAAAAACTTAAAATTTATGATTTATAATGTTTAATTAATTTTATATATTACTCGTCTATTGTTTATTTATCTAACGTGAAGTAGATTTTCTAATATTATTCAAATTGAGGCATACTTGCAACTTAACTAAACATTTTTTTCATTATCAAGGATCACTTCAATAACGTTACAAATTGTTGGATACATCCTATGATATAATTATAAGTATTCAATCTTAACTGTACATCATAACCATGTGTCAAATTTAACACACGTGCCTAATCAAAATTCACACCATTTATATGTCTCACCAAATTTTTTGAATGCTTGCATAATTTACGAATAACTTAACTAATTTATTTTTTTAAATCCTTTGCCGAACATAAAATCCAAAGGAAAAAACCAACAAATACAAAAATGTTAAATAATAGTAAGATCTTTTTTCATATTTATAAATATAGTAATCCGAATAATAGGGATAGTTTACCTAAAACTGATCCGTAGGGTTTGACTTAATTTCAATGCAGAAAAGCCAAATAAATAAATAAATAAATAAGTTCCCCTACCTTATGATCTATTTGAATCAAATTGGGCTTGGCATCCAAATTTAAACATTGGGTTTCAGTCAAGCCCAGGTAAAATTTGCAGATTCCAAACAGATCCATCTCTCTAAACAAAACAGAAAATGAAAAGGGAGAAGAAGAAAAATCAAACGCTGAATTGACCAATGGATCCACTCTCTACCAAAGAAATTTGAATGTTTCATTTTCATATTCATAATCTTCTCGATTCTTTTTTTTTTTTCTCTCTCAAACAAAATCTGGTACTTCAAAAGAAAAAATACCAGATCTAAAAATCACCCCTCGTACCTCTAAATCAGAGAGAGAGAGAGAGAGGAGAAATGATTAAAATTCCATATTTGACCGCATTGAGTACCTACTTCAGCTACGGATTACTCTTCGCTTTTGGCCAATTCCGTGATTTCTTTCGTAAAATCTTCGATTGGTGGCACTCTAGCAATCTTCAGGTCCTCCTTTCTTTCTTTCTTTTTTATTATTTTTTTGGGTTCTAGTGTTTTTTTTTTTTTTTTGACGTAATTAAGCTGTAAATGCTTCAATTTTGTGTGTCAATGATCAAATTCTTGTTTAATTCAGGGTTATGCACCTATCTGTTTAGGACTCGAAGACTTCTACATTCGTCGCTTATATCTTCGAATTCAGGTACTTATTTTTTTAAAAAAATTTATTTTAAGAGTATGATTTTCAAATCGAATCAATTGATTGATTTATTTTGAGACGAAATTTATTTATTTTGGAGGAATTTTATTCTAGGTTAAGAAATAGTATAGTTTGATCATGTCGATGTTTTTTATTTTTCTTTTATGCTTATATTATGTAATGTTTAGGATTGTTTTGGACGGCCGATATCGAGTGCGCCGGATGCGTGGTTTGATGTTGTCGAGCGTTACTCCAATGACAATAACAAGACATTGAAGTGAGAACTATGAAAATAGTTTATATAATATGCGATAATGATGCTGTTCGGGCATTTTGTGAGTTAATTGTTATGGTTGTGTTTGAGCAGACGGACTTCGAAGGTAACTAGGTGTCTTAACTTGGGGTCGTATAATTATCTTGGGTTTGCTGCAGCTGATGAGTATTGTACGCCTCGTGTTATTGAGACATTGAAGAGGTTTTCACCAAGTACTTGCAGTTCTCGTGTTGATGGAGGTATGCCATATGTATATTATTTCTAACTGTGTTTTTCTTCATTATGTTCAGGTGTTTGGTATTTAGTAATGCAAATTTTTGATCAGGAACTACAACATTGCATAAGGAACTGGAGGAATGTGTTGCAAACTTTGTTGGGAAGCCAGCTTCCATAGTTTTTGGCATGGGCTATGTCACAAACTCTGCCATTCTACCCGTTCTGATGGGAAAGGTATGTTTATAATCTTAGTTGTGAGTTTGTTGTTATGTTAAGATTGTGTTAGAATTGTTTTTTATGTTTTGCTTTTTGATAGGGAGGGTTGATAATTAGCGATTCATTGAACCACAATTCAATTGTCAATGGTGCTCGAGGTTCAGGAGCAACAATTCGGGTTTTCCAAAACAATAGTAAGTTGTATGTGACCGTTCTTTTCAGTCTTAGAAATAAATATTTCTGTGTGCTTATGCATTGGAATCTTGCTGCCCATCTTTCTCTCAGCACCGTCTCACTTGGAGGAAGTTTTGAGACAGCAAATTGCGGAGGGCCAACCAAGGACACATAGGCCTTGGAAGAAGATAGTTGTCATCGTGGAGGGAATTTACAGTATGGAAGGGGAACTCTGCAAACTTCCAGAGATTGTTGCAGTATGCAAGAAATATAAGGTGATGAATGTAGTGTAGTAAATTGTAATACTTTGTGCATCTCAAGTAATTTCAGTTTAACCTTGTACTAATTCACTTTTACCTGGAAATTTGTGTCTTGATTTTCTTAGGCAAAGTACTAAGTTGCATTGGAAAACAAGGGAATTATTATAATATGCAGTTACAATTTCTAACTTCTGAAAAGTTCTGTTTTTAAATTCTGCTCTGTTGTTTCACAATTGAAGAAAGGTGATTCTATTTTATGAAAGAAATTGATTTTAAAATTTAAGGATGCTATGAATCCGAAAGGCATGTAAAATATTTTCTGGTCTATTTTGTGCTTTACTTCTTATTCCACATGCTTTTGCATTGCCAAGGTCCCTGATTTTCTGCTTGAAAGAATTTATAGTATCTTTTTTTTCGTTTGTTGCAGGCATATGTTTACTTGGACGAGGCTCATAGCATTGGAGCAGTTGGGAAAACAGGAAGAGGTGTTTGTGAACTCTTAGGAGTGAATACAGCTGATGTCGATGTTATGATGGGAACTTTTTCGAAATCGTTTGGATCTTGTGGTGGTTATATTGCTGGATCTAAGGTTTGTTACTTGTGCATCTCTATTCCATTTTAGGAGTTCTATAAAATGTGCTTTGAGCTTTCTGGGAAGATTAATGTTGATGTGTGTCCTTGATAGCAATTATCTTTCTTTCCTTGACCACTGGTTTGTTTTAACCCCTAATTATTATCAACATTTTATAATACCAGACCTAGCCTTTGCATTCTTTTATTGGAATATGAAACTTCAGTTCTTGATTTAGATTCTTTATTTTCTTTATACCTACCCACTTGGATGGGCCTGACGTCGTTAAGTTGTCATGGGGAAGTACCGGTGGGACTTTTGCATGAGTACTTTGCATCTAGTCATACTGAGTGCCCAAGTTGGCATCTTGGATTCTCTCTTCTGCATTAAGAAACTATCATTGTTTATGTTCTGGTTTTTCCTGTGAAACCACCAAGTGGAACTCACCATTCGACGAGCAAGACTCTGCTATGCTTGTATGGTTTAGAACATGTTGGTGGCTAATCCTTCTTAGCCATATCACGAGTACTATTATTTTGTTTTTGTCTCCACTAGTTCTATAAATTCTCTGAAAGGATGTTGGTTGTTGTGAACACCGTACCAGCTGTCTTTGCTATGCCCTATCGAGCTTTACTACCAATTTTCTGATTATTTTCATTTTACTAATGCAAAATATGCAAGCTTTTTTCTAGTGGATTCAGCTATTGATCTTATGTAAATGTCCAATGGCTGAAGTTTGCTTCTTGCCTTCAGGAGCTAATCCAATATCTTAAGTACACTTGTCCAGCTCATTTATATGCAACATCAATATCCCCTCCAGCTGCTCAACAAATTATATCTTCCATAAAGGTTATTCTGGGAGAGGATGGTTCTAGTAGAGGTATTATAAAAAGATTCCTTCTTTCTTTTCTGATATGCTAAGAAGTCTTTCTAAAATTAATTACTCATAATTTGACTTTATGCATAAATTTTGTTTTGCTCTGACATTATTTCACTGTAGGGGCTCAAAAACTTGCAAGAATACGTGAAAATAGCAACTTTTTCAGGTCAGAACTGCAGAAAATGGGTTTTGAGGTTCTAGGAGATAACGATTCACCAGTGATGCCCATAATGCTTTACAATCCAGCAAAAATCCCTGCATTTTCTCGGGAGTGTCTAAAGCAGAACGTGAGTTCCTTGTAATTTTTTTTAATGTCTGCAGTCTTGTTGATAATATATTTTCATTATATCTTGTAAGGGCACTCATAATTTCTGATTTTCATTATTGTATATTTATCATCATTTTTGTTGTAGACGTCACTAGTTACTAAGATCTAATATGCTGTTGCAGATTGCTGTTGTGACGGTTGCTTTTCCAGCTACCCCTCTACTTTTGGCAAGGGCACGTATTTGCATATCTGCCTCTCATACCAAGGAAGACCTTCTCAAAGCATTGCAGGTTTGTGGGCTTTGTCAATATGGACTTTGTTTCTATTACAGTATGTCTTCTCCTTTGTGTGGTTTTGCTATGTTGTTGAATATCATTATCAAAGATCCGTGCATCATTTGGCTGTTAACCAAATGTAAGTTTTATGGCTAGAGACTCCCAATCAACCAAAGGATATGGTTGATTGAGCTTAAAATGGGAAACCAATGGCTGTAATTTGGCAAATATCCACTTCTTTTCTCATCCATTTTGTCTGATTAATTTGGTTGTATGGCATTGATCCGACAGAATTAGCAAGTAATTTCTTGTATGATTACTAATCTGAGCAGACGACAAAATAATAGCAAATTCTTTCGTTTTGGATAGGTTATCAGTCAAGTTGGTGACCTTGTTGGCATAAAGTACTTCCCTGCTGATTCTGAAAAGCAACATCAGGAGCAAGGTGCAATCAAGTTGTAATGAGACTAAAGAAATCCATCGTGCTGAAATTGTTTATTAACCTGAAAGCTTTGATCTAACAATTTGAGTAGCATTTTCGTGCAGTATTGATTAGATTTCCTCTGAGAATTGGATAGTGTTGTATTTCTCGTGCTAGCATTGAAGCTTTCCTCTTGTTTGTTTGTGCTCTTTTTCTGTGGTCTTGTCATGTGTAATCTTCCGTTAAATTTTGTTTCTTTTTTTTATCCGCAGTTGAGAATTTTGGTAATTTAATGTACAGAAACAAATGTAAGATGATTCTATCCTATATAAACGTTTCCACGTCCATAGAATTCAAATTAGACGTTTCAGCTGCCTAACAGCAACAAATTATTGAACTGCACCGAGGCTGCAATCTGCGTTGATATGCTTCATTAAATTGCCAGTGGTCAATTGTGAGGGAGACTTTCGTTAAACGCTTTGACTTTGCGTCCATTGCTGTTTCTGTGACGATCAACTCTCTGGTCTTGTTAGCTAGGTATGACAGAGAGATTTTTGTACTTCGAAGACCAATGTTAAAGTTTCAGAAAGTACTCTTACCTGGTTGTGTCTAGATCCTATATCTTGGGACCTCGTATCATGGGCGATCATTATTATTTTGCTGCTTGGGTTGAAGAAGCCAGTGAGAACAGAAACCAGCAGAATTCCTAACAAAAAGATTTAATATTAGACCTGCATACACATGGCCAATTCCACGCGACTTCTTTTATAAAATTGGTCCACAAACATTCCATCTATGGTGTCTGAAAGGCACAACTGCCCAAGATGTGGAAAAATAGGTCCACAAATTTCATGACTGTACGTAAAGCAACTGCCTTTTTTTTCACACAGAGAATTACGCAAACAGGAAATCATATTCTATGATTAAATATATGAAGTGTAAAGATGATGATAATAACTATAAATATGTAAAGAGCCAATGGCAGTTCTTTTTGGCAGTTGCCACAAAGAATGGTTGTTGAAATACACCGAATAATATTAAAAAACTATGCCCCCAATAAAAAAAAAAATAATAATAAATTGACTATTATCTAACCTAATCTAAAGCAATCACAAAAGCAGCAAAGCAACTCCAAAGGCCATGATTAACCCAGTTAGGCCCCACCTTGAATGAACACTATGGGCCCCACTACTACCACTACCAGTGTCTCTCTCCTGAACAGACTCTGTAGATGAACCATTATAGTTAGGATTACTACCATACAAAGTTTGGATCCCTTCAATATCATCGCTGGCCAATTCAACTTTCTTAATCCTTGAAGTAATACTAGGGTACATGATGGACTCTTCCACAGAGGAATGCCCCAACCCTAACAAATGTCCAATCTCATGCACTGCCACGGACTCCAAGTCAACAGCTGACGTCAACGACGATGTTCTAACATCACCCGCCACAACCCAATTCTCGTCACCGTCAAGGTGGAGTCGTCCACTTGGCGGGGAAAAGGCATGTGCTAGAGTCCCCAGAACCCCATCAAACGGCTCTCCGTCTCCATGATCGCCAGTGAAAAACCCAATTCGGATATCAGCTGCGTTGATAGAATCCGTCTTTGTGAAAGTCAATGGAATCACCGTAGACCACCGGTCGAAGGCACGGGAGAAAACGGTCTTCACCTCGTCGGTTAGTTGATTTTCAGGCAAAAACGAGTAGGTTAAGGCTTGTTTTCTCCAACGTGGCATCCCAGTAAAGAAGGTGTAATGAGAAACCGTGTGAAAGTGACTTGACGAGGTATTGGTCTTGCCAGAGTTCATACTTGTAGAGCCGTTAACTATATCCGGATTGCCGCATCTGGGCCGGACGATGTGGTTCATTGTTTGGTTGTCGAGTTGGCCAGTGACATTAAGGTTAAAGTTTTGTTGGTAAGTTCGGAGAGCAGATTCGAGGTAGTCGTCGAAATCGTCGGTGATATTGGAGAGGGAATTGGGGATGTAACCGAAGTATTGGAAGTAGTGTTTGAGCTTGGCTAAGCCGTCGTATTGTTTACCGGCCTGGCAGCCGCCTAGTTGTCGGAAGTAACCCCATGGATTAGTGGAGGCGTTTTTGAGCAAGTCTTCTGGGATTGAAGTGATGTTAGGAAAAAAGTGAGCAGAGACTAAAGGAACCGAGTTAAGTGAGAGAAGGAGAAGAATTGTACTGATCATGAAAAGATGATGATATTGCCGTGCTTTTGCCATAATTGTTTGGTTTTGAGTTTTCGAGAGAGAACTAATAAGGTCTGGTTTTGATTTGGAAGAAATTGGGAGGGATTTTGAAAGAGTTAAAGTAATAGAAGAGAAATGTGATGATGGCTAATTCTTAAAAGAGGAGGAAGTTTCCGAGTTTCTAGAGGAATAGATGCCTGATTGGTAAAGGAGACAGGAAGGAAGCCGGCAACAGCAACAACAACAACATTGGACTTCTCGTAATTGTTGGTGTTATCATCTCCAAATTCAAATGCGTGTATGACTTATTGTATTATTAATTAATTACTATATTGTGTATGCGTGTTAGATTTTATCAAGTTTTGAATGCTTCCACTGTTCCTGGGGCTCTTTAGCAATGGTTATGGAGATTAAATTTCTTTTTTAGAAAAAGTGAGCAAACCTTGGATTAGTCCCCCAACTACTGATTTTATCAATTGGGTCTCCAAATTGAAGACTACGTTGGATAGTGTATGCGCTCTTCATGTGTTCTCGCTAGATCTAATTCCCACCAGATTTAGAGAAAATACCCTATTTTCCCCTCATTTAAACATGTGCAGGAACGATTAGAAATTTAGAATAGTAGAAGAAGGAATAATTAGCAAAATTGGGTATCTTTCATGCCTATGGTTTGGGAGACCTAGAATTAGTTAGAAAACAAATAGAATGTGCAAAATATTTAACACTGTCTCCAATTATTGGAGCAGAAAGATCTAATTGTAATAAGGTATACAGATAGGGGATTCCATTGATAAAATCAGTAGTTGGGGGACTCATCAAGAAACTATATAGAGTTAGAGGACTAATCTAAGGTTTGCACTCCAGATATTCCGAAGCTACGAATCACAAGTCTATGCATTAAACCACCAAGAAATTACTCGCGGAAGTTAGAAAACTTGATAAAAAAAACTTCAAAAAAAGAAGAAAATTCAATTTTTTTTTTTTTTTTATTGCGTTTCAAGCGATGACGACAACTCTAGGTCACATTGACTTTGTTGGCTGAAGCGTGAAAAATGAAAGGACATAGATGGAAAGGGTCAAGTACGGGACAAGGTCAAACTTGGAGGTTCAACTGTTTCTTGCAATGGCCTTTTTCTTCATTTTTTTTAATCTGAAGAACTCTTACGGTACATGGCGTTATTTTCTTATACTTGGGGTGTTAGGTGATGAGGCAGTTGGAGGATGGTCAATCTTAGATCAATTCAATTATCATCAGATCAGGAGGATTCTTCACATTACTGTTTCAGAATTGAGAATGAGTATCATCTTAATTAAACTTTTTTAATGACTGCTGATGATTTTAAACATGTTGCTATTTATGTATAGTTAATAGGAATGAGAGGTTCCATTAATTTTCTAAAACACGCCATGCCATAAATAATCCATTTCTTTGCTTTCCTCCTCTTCTACACCAACAGATTCTTGAACAATGGAGACTTCTGAGAGACTGAGACAGCAAGGCAAAGTGCAGAGGGCAACCAAGGACGCATAGGCCTTGGAAGAAGGTAATTGTCACTGTAGAGGACAGTTATAGTATGGATGAAAAAGAACGCCCAAACTTCTAGAAAAGAAGACCAATCTTGAATCTTGACATCAGAAATACGCTAGGAATTGTACTCTGAGGACCAACGTTCAAGGTTCAAGAAGCACCTTCCCTGTTATGTCTAGATACGGGACTTTTACATCATGGGAGATCTTCAAACCTCTAACCTAGTTAACTGAATGCCACACCTGCACCTCTGCCAATGAAACCTCAAATCCAGCAGAACCCCAAAGGACAAATTTACTATTAGACTGGATATACAAGACCAAAGGCTCAAATGCAAATTCGACATGACTTTTTTCGCAAAAACTGGTCCGCAAACATTCAGCTCATGATCAAAGGCATACCAATTCGCCTGCAATGCAGAGACTGGCTGAGCTTATGCAAGGTATGTAGTAAATTCTAAAAATAGTATCAGCTAAAAGCATAAAAGAAATAGAAACAATGGAAACAGAAATTATTCTCCGTGGAGAGACATGTAATGCTGCCTTTTGAATGCTCCAAAATCTCTTTCTGTTAGCAAAAAACAATGATATCCCCCCCGCCCCCTCCCAATGTCTGAAGTCAATCATAAAATGACAAGTTTTGGCAAACATCTGTAAATCGTTCTATTTATTCGATAGCTCTATAGCTAGCATTAACTTAGAATTGAGGGCGTCTAAAACAACTCATACCAAAACAAAGTTGACCAATACTCCATTACTGAGAAACTGACTACAAAGGCACGATCTTTGCCACTGTCCTGCCAGCTTGAGATCTCCACATCGATTCTCGAACAAGGATATCCTAATCTGAGTTACTTTGCAATTGGCTTAATATTTCCTCTATGTAAACTATACTCAAAATCAAATATGAAAAACAAATCACATTCAAATGGGCACCTCATTTCCAGCAAAAATGAAGGTCAATTGAAATGTCAAATATTAGGCAATCAACATCAAATGAAAATGATGACAGAAGAACTAATAATGACAGAACATTATAGAAATAACTCACATGCTCTGAATAAAGGCACTAAGCGTTGGATCAGTAATTTAGTAACCCTAGTCTCCAAAAAAACTGAACTTCATTTGCTCTTCTAGAATCTCTGTCTCTTTCAGAACCCACTCTACAGGTTGAGACATCATTCATGCAATGACTTTCTTTTGCCTAGTCGCAGTTCACAAAGTAATCCACAAACAACTTCAGAGTACCTTAGTATATCAAACACTGCACTGTCTATACACCACAGAAAATTAACTAGAACCTCTGGGAACCTCACAGACCCTAAAAGTTGAAATGCAAACCACACCTCATAAGATGTACTTCCGAACAAATTCTAAGAACCACCAACTCTGAGCGCTATAAAAAGTCAATCTTCTAGTGTTGGGGAATGGCAACCACGTCTGAACTCTAATTCCAACAGGTTTATTTAAGTTACTAAACAGTTTGAGATGACAATACCACCTGAGTGATGATCAAAGGAACAAGCACAGCAAATATGCAAACAGCATGGACTGCAAATAACCTATGACTATTGCATAAAAAATTACACATTTTTTCCTCCTTTCACTAATTGTAAGCATGATTAACCACATCCAATTTTGGGTTTGTTACCTTAACCAATCTGCTTTCATTCTCAAAAGGAATGAAGTAACGCAAAACACTTATGCTTGGATTTTGAATTCTTTTCATAAGCATCTTTTAAGCATTTTCCATTAATCAATTTCTCCAAGAATCAAATGAATAAGTGACATGGCTTCAGGCTCATTAACACAGCTACAACTACTTCAGCAAATCAACTCGAGGACCATGTAATAGAAAAATTGCACTGAATTAAAAATGCATTAATATAGGGCAAGAAAGCAATACTAAACAGAACATCCTACTTATACCAAAAAGAACTACTATCATCAGTAGATGGAACAAAATAACTCAAATTAAATTCAGACATGATGCATCTTAATTATCATGGCCGAGAGAATTTCTCCTTTAAAAAAAAAAAAAAAAAAAAACAGAACTACAAGCTCATCAAAAAACCATCAAGAAAACCCCTTTCCTAGCTTCTGAATTGCACAAAACATCTTCCTTCTAGACCCAACAGCATTGATCCCCATATCCTTCAAATCCTCCAATGTCAACATCGGCAAAACCTCATCATCCACCTCATGAATCTCAAATACTGGCGCGTATCTCCCTAACCCTAAACTATTCAGCCAAATCCTCACTCCATCCTCCCCTCCACCACCACCACCACCACACCTCCCATTATCCCTATAATCTCTTGCATCATTATCCGATGGACCTGATAATTCAACCCCGTCATGATGATAATCATGATTAACATTACGATCATTCCTCCCCCTTGTTACCATGCTATTGTAATACACTTCCCTATCATTCCTCCCATTCCCATCTCCAAAATTCTCAAGTGAATCGTGAATTGGGCTTTGTTCTTTCAACAAACTCTCTGAATTCTCAACTTCAAATTCTCTATAATCCTCTTCTTCCTCTTCCTCATCCTCCTCTACGTCTTCACCACCACTATATTTCTCCTCCCCTTCATCTCCATTACCACCACCACTATCATCAAATTTAGACACCCAATTCGACCTAACTCGCTTCGCACTAACATTCAAGGACCCTCTCTTTTTCGAAGAATGCTTAATTCTCCAACTCCCAATTGCAACACTATCCAAATTAATATCATTATCCCCACCAAGGGTTTCATTGAACTCACTTAAATTCGTTAAAGCTCGAGTCTTTGATGATTTACTTGCCTCTTTAAAACCCAAAATCTGCTGCTGCTGTTGTTTCCATTGCTTGCTATTATTGTTGGCAGTTCTACGGTGGTGTTGAGATTCATAAAGCTGGTCTCCACCGCCTATCTCGCCTAATCGGACACTTGGCCTCCGCTGCCTCTTTGACCCCACAGTTTCAGATGATGTTAATGCCCCACCACCACCTCCTCCTCCTCCGCTGCTTCCACCGCCGCCGCCGTTGTGTAGATGGGTGTCAGGTGGGTGTATCTCTGCCATTCAAAGATGTGATTTTGAAATATTTCTCTATTCCTTCTTCTTCTATCCAAAAAAATTGAAAAATCAAAACTTTTCTTTTATCTTTAGGGTTTGCTTTTGCTCGTGTATTTGTTTTATGTTGTTGATTGAGAGAGTGGGGGAGGAGAGGAGAGTCAAGAGTGGAGAATGAGTGAGTGAGAGAGTGTCAAATGGTTTTGCTGGGTGTTTGACGCGTGTTCCGATATAGAATGGTGGGTTTTAGGAAGGAACCATGTGCACGAGGTAATCGTAATTAATGAATGTAAAACACGTGGTGTCTTTTCATTGTTTTCTGCTAATCATCATGGAATTATTCAACTATTCGTCAACAGTTTTGGTCATTATGATGCGTGTTTAATGCCATTCAAAGCATTGTATTACCGGTTTTTTTTTCTTTTTAACTTTGATTAAAAGTATTTTTAACGTCATGAAATAATAAATATTCATATAAATTTTTATATATAAAATATATTTTAATTATTTATAATTTTTAATATAATTTAATTTCTCATTTGATATTAGAAATTAAAAAGATAATATAATTGATTTAATAATTTATGTATTTTTAGTTCATAATCTCTTTCAATTCTCTTAGTTTATGGAGAAGTATTTTGTAGAAATTAAGATAATTATTTAGAGCTGTTATCACTTATATTCTCTTGATTTCATTGTGAAATTATTTTTCTATCATATTTCTCTTATCCTTTTTATCATGATTGTAATAATCTTCCATGATTATTATTATTTTTTCAACATGTTATCGAGCATGATTGTTTTACTAAAAGACACAAATCATTTAGACTATTACAAGGTATATATCTAATTTATCTTTTACTTTAAATCTATTTATACATATAGTATGCGCATGAAAAACTTGAATTATCTAATATATGTTGTTTGAAAAGTTTAAATTTTATTACTATGCTTGTTCTTATTTTCTAACATTATTATCATATCTTGTATTATAGAATTTTTATCATGTCAACAAATCTTGATTTTGTGGCCCTCGACATTTCGGACAAGAATTATTTATCATATATGCTTGATGCTTGAGATACATTTAAATGCTAATGCTAATTGTCTTGGACAAATAAGAATCCTTACAAAATTGTGATAAGACAATGATCTTCCTTCGTCATAATCTCCCATGAGGATTTAAAAACTGAATATTTAATAGTAAAGGATCTACTTGAATTGTGAAAAAATTTAGAGGAAAGGTACAACCACCAAAAAGCGATAATTCTTCCTAAAGCTTATTATGATTGGATACACTTAAAATTATAAGATTTCAAAACAATAAATGAGTATAATTCCGTAATATTTAGAATCGGCTCCTAACTAAAATTATGTGGAGAAAATATTACTCATTCAAATATGTTAGAGAAGATATTATCTACTTTTTATGCCTCGATTATGCTCCTACGGTAGCAATATCGAGAAAAAAGTTTTAAGAAATACTCTAAATTGATTTCATGCTTATTTGTGGTTGAACAAAATAACAAGCTATTGACGAAAAATCATGAATCCCACCAAACTAGGTTTACTCCATTCCCTAAAGTGAATGTGATATCTTATAATAATTTTAGACATAGACAAGAACATGGTTGTGACAATATCTATAGTCATGATCGGGATAGTTATCATTATAATCATAGTGGCAGAATAATACACCTCACTATTAGTAGTGAATAAATTATGAAAAGAAACAAGAAACAAATAAAAGTGGATCAAGTTAGCATTTTGAAAATGAATATTATAGATATGATATGAAGGGATATTGGTCGTGTACTTGTCATATGCCAAAACACCTTATTGAGCTTTATCAAGTCTTGTTGAAAAAAAAAGTAATATAGAGGTAAATTTTATATATCAAAATAATAATTGATATAATGTTCCTCTTGATGGTTTTAGTAATTTGACATATTTAGATATTGTTGATTTTTTTTTTTTTGAAGATTTAGAAATAAAAGATCATTACATTAATGATAATTATTAAAATTAATCTATTGTTAACTTTTCTATTGATAAATAAAGAAATTTTATGTTTTCTTATAATTTGAATTGCATCGTGATAATTATAATTATTTTTGTTATATATTTATTTATTTATTTTTGTATTTATGAAGAAATATATATCAAGTTCACAATTGATTTGCACATTATAGAGGAGAATGCAGTGCCTTGTAGATAGTGCAAGAACACATACTATACTTAAAAATAAAAAGGTACATATTTAATTTAATGATGGGTAATGCTAATGTTAACATAATATTTGATAGTGTAAATTTATTTAAAGGCTTTGGAAGAGTAAATATATTATTACATAGAGAGACAAATTTGATTATAAATGATGCATTATTCTCTTCTAAGTCCCATAAAAATTAATTGAGTTTTAAAAGATATTCATCTAAATGGATATCATATTGAGACAACAAATGTTAAGAATACTAAATACTTATATATTATAAAAATTACATCGAGTAGAAATATGTATTGAAAAAATTACCCACTTTTCTTCTAATATTTATTACATAAATATTCAAATGATTAAAACAAATGCTATAGTAAACCGGAAATTTACTAATTTTTTTTTATTATGTGGCATGACTAGTTGAGCCATCCTAGATTCATTATGATGCAAAAAAAAAATATTAAAAATTTATATTAACATCCATTAAAGAATCAAAAGATTCTTTAATATAATGATTTTTCATGTCTTGTATGTTCTCAAGGCAAATTTATTATTAAACCATCCCCAAATAAAATTAAGATTGACTCTCTAACATTTTTAGAACGTATTTAATATGATATATGTAGATGAATTCATCTACCATGTAAACCATTTAGATATTTTATACTTTTAATAGATCATCTACAATATGGTCATATGTATTCTTATTATCAACTCGAAACTTGGCGTTTTCGAGGTTACTTGCTCAAATAATTTGATTACAAGTATAATTTCTAGATTATACCATTAAAACAATTCTCTTTGAAGATGCTACTAATTTACCTCTTAAGTATTTAATGATTATTGCATGTCTATTGGAACAAAGGTTGAATAGCCCATTACTCATGTTCATAGTCATAATGGTTTAGCATAATCATTTACATAAACCTCCAATTAATGCTAGACCTTACTTATGAAAAAAAAAATCTCTCGTTTATGTTTAGATAGATGTAACTTTACATGTAGCAATACTTATTCGTATCATGCCTAAAAGTTATCCAAATTCTCTCCCTTTTAATTTGTTTCGGTCACGAGTCTAATATTTCTCATTTAATAATTTTTAGACATGCATTATATGTCCTAATTACTCTTCTAAAATGAACTAAAATAGGTCATCGAAGAGATTGAGAATATATGTTGGATATGAATCTCTTTCAATAATTAAATATCTTAAACTATTAATAAAAAATATTTTCACGACTCGATTTGTCGACTATCATTTTGATGAAACAATTTTTCTAATATTAGAGGAGAGAATAATAAAAAAAAAAGCGATTGAAAATGTTGAAAAAAATTATGTGAAATATTTTATCTTTATATCATCTTAATCCTCGCATAAATAATGTGAACTTGAAGTTCGAGAGGATAATTCATTTACAAAAACTTGCAAACTAATTACTAGATATATTCTCCGATTTAAGAGAGTAACTAAATCACATGCTTCGTCGAGAATGCTCCTATTAGAATCGATGTCCTAATAGGATAATCTATTAATGCTATAACAAAATGAATCTAAAGCACGCTTGGAAAGAGGAAGATCGATTGGTTCTAAAGATAAAAATCCCTAAAAGAAAAAAAGGATAATAATTAATATGAAAATGTAAAGGAGGCGAGATAAAATGATGCAAGATATTGTTGATAATAGGCTTTTAGAAGAAGCTCAAATGCTTGAGAAAAATCAATAAATTTTGATAAATTATGCTAATATAGGGAGAAAAGGAGATCGAAAATAAACATTCATTGATAACATTTTTAAATATAATATTGCAATTAATATTTTGAATAAGGATCCTAAGCTTAAATTTATTAAAGAATATTGATATAGAGATAATTGGTTTAAATGGAAAAATACAATCCGAGTGAGAATTAAATTCTGTCATAAAACAAGCAGCTTTTGGACTTATAGTCAACATACCCGAAGATGTCAAGTTAGCAACATACAAATGGGTATTTGTGTAAAAATGAAAGGAAAAAGATGAAATTATAATACAAAGCAAGACTTATAGCACAAGGACTTTCATAAAGACTTGACATTGATTATGAGGAGACATATTCTTCCGTAAAGGATGCAATTACATTCCATTATTAGCTTAACAACATATGAATCTGAATTCCCATCTACCCTAGGATCGAATTCACTTAAATTTTAGCCTTCCCCACAAAAAAAAAAAAAAAAACAATGATTAGGCTCTTGCTAGTTTTAGCTCGGTATGAACAGAGTTAAAACTTACAATGCAAATGCAATTTGTGTGTTGTGTTTGTGTGTGTAAGTGTTGCGGGTGCAAAGACATCTCTTGGCTAGTACAAATGACAACCAAGAGTGATTTTTTCCCTCCGGATTATTGTCTTCATTGACAAAGATGAATAGTACTAGAGGATGGTAAGGTATAGGAATAGGCGTACTAGGGTATTGTTGGGAAGACTCGAACGATAGGTCGTTTGGATTGATTCCAAATTAGTCTTATTGTTTATTTCCTCTCGTCAATTTAGGTCCCTATAGGTTTTAATTTTTCAATGGGATCCTTGTGTCTTTCAATTTCGAGTTCTAGTTTTTTTAATTATTTTAATTGTATCCTTAATTACTTCTAATTGTATTCCATTTTCATTCAATTGCACCCTTGAAACTTATAGATAAAAGTATCGTAAAATTAAAATAAAACTAAAAAAAGTATAAAATAAAAATAAAAGTAGAAACAATAAAAATGGGATAATAAACAAGTTATATGACAAATGATAAAGTGAAAAATTAGTT